TATTTTCCAACAAAAATTACCCAATATGGATGGAAGAAAAATGATTTATAGGAAAAAAATTAGAGACTAAGCTTAGCTTAGCTTAGATCTTTTATTTTGGTCATTCCATTATAGAAAAACCATTCTATTTGTTGAGGACTTCTCTGCTCTTTAGAATGCAACGTTTCAAGTGCATCACTAAAAATGGTATTATTTTTGAAAAACAGCCTTGGAATGAAAACAGATTGATTGACTTAATTCAATCTAGAACTTTCTGTTGGATCAAAAGAAACTCTACCTGTGCTAAGTTCAATTTCGTGGACTAGTGTCAATTCCCACTCCATTGTGCAGTTGATTTTTAACTTATTGAACTTTTAATGTAATGTATGGGTGAGTACCCCTTGTTCTCTTTTATTAATAACACTTTTGATTCATCAAAAAAAAAAAAAAAGTGCATCACTAAAAATACAAAGCGACTTTAAGATATCAATGTGTAAGGTTTTTTTATTTTTTATTTTTTGTGGGAGGGGGGGGGTGTTTAAATGGTTCAAAGTGTAAGCGGTCTCATGTCAATAATATCATATTTAAGAAAATGATTATTTTGCAACTTCTGTTAAACATAACAGGTATCATAATTTTTATTAATTTTTTTCACTCAACAAAACATATGATAATGATTTATAAATATTCATTCAGTTAATGTTAATTAGGTGATAGTTGTCAATAAATGTTATCAATGAGTTAATATCAAGGAAAGCTTGTAATTTCGTTTTGCCCTCACTCTAAGGAGTTTTTTAGTTCAGGAAAGGGTTGACACAAATATGATGACTTCCCCTAATGTACTACTCATTCGTCCCATTATAATCAAAATTTTTAATTAGGTATATAAATGGTTTGCATTCAATGCGATGAAATCAATACAATGAGAACTACGTGTATCCAACGGCACTAAATACTGAAGCATTTTGAATCTCATTCATATGTTCAAGCAAAAGAACAAAACATTGCGTTCAATCACGTTGCAAGTTTGTACTAGAAGTGTATAAATTAATATTGGGACAGGACTTGGTTAATAAGTCGTTGGAGTCTGACCCATCTTTAGCTACGGACTGTATTAATTACTTTCTAGGTGGAATACTCATTGCACATGTGTGTATGTATGTATATATTGTAGATATACGTATTACTTGCATAAAATGTTAATTATTTATATCTTTAATTATAAATAGTTGTGACTTATTTATTTTTTATTTTTTTTAATGTTATTTATTTTATTTAAAAACTTATGATAATTAAATCTCAATTACTCATAATGAAGAAATGAAAGGTTAAATTTGTACAAGTGATGTGTATGTAAATCTTAAGTCATATATATATATATTAAAAAAATAATTTATCAGTTATATCTATTAAAAATTAGGTGAAAAAA